CCTGCACCCCCTTCCTTACGCAACTTCCACCCGCAAGGGTGGAAGTTGCGTAAGGTAAGTTGTAAGGTAAGGTAAGGTAAGTAAGGAAGTTGTGTAAAGTTGGTGTTTGTTGCTTTCAGGGATCTTTCGACTTTTGGTGTGCATCCCCGGAGGCACACCAAAAGTCTACTAAATTTATGGGGGGGGGGGGGGGGGGACATTTCCCCGAATTTAGTTGCTCCAGCAAAACGGAACAAATAAAGAAGCTAAAATTTGGTAGATAAATGGTTCCTGAAGTGCTCATTTCAGGGAATAATTTTAAGGACTCCAAGGAAGAAGTACATTCCCCAGAAGCGCTTTCTTTCGAGGGACCTTTTCAATTAAATTTATTCGCTCTGGCAAATGGGGGAGATATGGAAAGCTGGAACGAGGTATTATACATGGGTAGCTGTAGTGAGGGGGCTAATTTTAAAGAAAAATAGGTGCATCCTAAGGGGACACATTTTTGCGGATCTGTTTTTCCCAAAAGTTTTTCCCTTCAGTGAAATGGACAGATGGACAGAAACAGAGAGGGGCAAAAGTCAGGAAACAGGAATTTTTTAGGAATTTAATTTTCAAAGTGACTGCTTGATGGCAGCACATTTCTGTATCTCTTTTCCATCAATTTGGCCTACAAAAGTCCAGTGAAGAGTGCTCCCGCTGCATCCACTGAAATTGGCTGCAAATGAACGACCATTACTCACTTTGAACTAGTATGGCGATTTTGGCGATAATGTGTCATGTTCATGTTGGCTACCTCCGTGCTTGCACAATTTTGTCATAATTTCATGGACGACATTTGAAAGCAATTTTTGACTGAGTGTTGTGAAATAACGCAGTTATGGTGTATTAAACCGAAAAACGAGTAGAGTTAGTGACTTACCCAAAAGCAGATAACAATTTACGGCAAACTACTATGATTACCATGAAAGATATCCAAATTATTTATTTATTAGACTGTCAATCTACTGCATTTCGGATTTGAATGCAGAATTCCGAACAATCGGCAGAGTTCTTGGTGTAAAAAAAAAGTTGGCACAACAGGAGCCAGTCAAACAGCAATTCTCGCCCTTATGTCCATACAGCCGCAACAATCAAAGCGAGAGATGTTGAGAACTGTGGGCATTAGTGAAGGTGAATAAGAAAGGAAATTTAATTTCTCAAATAAGTCCTATGTTCCCTGACTTTTGTCCCACCCTGTATGTACAAGGTGATCTGAAAGTCTCATTGCACTTTGTAGGAATGAATCGAACATATTTATTTGCAAAATTTTTGTTGTGTATATACATGACAATTTAACCATTTGAACATAGAGAACGTGAGAGAACCTGAGCTATCGATGATAAAGTATAAGATAAAAGGACATAGAAATATAAATCGAATAGCAGAAGTGTTATGTGATATTTGGATCACCCTGTATATTTTGCTTGGGCGTCGCATGTCCAAATCGATGTGCGCATGTGCAGACGCCTTCCACAAGGCTCCGGGTTTCCATCTCGCTCTCTCGAGCTCGCAGTTTCTTTCCAATCTTCGCGACTGTCGGATCCATTCGCGAGAACAGGAGATTTTTCATGAGGCATCTTGGGAAAGGGGGAGGGGGGAGTAAGTACTGTATCTCCTTTTATTTAACCCTTTCGGTACTGCAAACATAACTGTTACGTTCAGGATATACTGTACCGTACCATGCTTACTTGTCCAAGAATACCAGACGCTGAAGCGTTGCTGAGGTAAGTGAAACTTACAAGAGTTCATTATTCCAGTTATTACATGAATTAAAGGCTACTTTTCCCTTTACGCATACCGCGCGCAATCACAAACGAAAAACTTCGACCGGGAAGGAGAGTACTACGATTTAACTCAGTACCGAAAGGGTTAATGTTGTTAACCTCAAGTTGGCAGTGACTTCAAGTAACCTGACGTGTAACAATGAAATATGCCTAAATCCATGGAGTTTTACGACTTCAGAATGTGTGAAAGCCGGAGGTGCACGTTCCTGATAATTTAATATTTTCATTTTCATCATTGAGCGTCGAAAACGCGGCCATTGGGAGCTTGTTCGCTCGAAGGGCAAACAAACTTACTAGTAAAAAATCTCCTCCCCCGCCATGACGTGTATGACTTCTGAGGGGGACCTTGTTGGAGTGTCCTGGCTTATGGAATTGAGGTCCTACACGCATGCAAAAATATACAGGTTGGTCCAAAAAAGGTAAGTGAAATTTAATTTTCTTTTAACTTCATTTCAGGTGATTAGAACTGAACCGAAACGCCTTAATATTCGGTGCAGGAGCGAATATGGATAGTAGAACACTATTTGAACAGAGGGCTCTGGCAGGCTGGGGGAATTTCTCATAGAGTTCATCACGAGGGAAAGGGAAGCTTAGTTTTCTCTCGTTCCTTCCTAGTAGCAGAATCGCCAAGAATAAAAAATGATGTACTGGTACACTCAACGCTTGGGTGGTTTCCCTCGCCAAATGAGAAATGACGGTAACCCAACAGTTTATGTGATTACGTTTAACGGAATCTCGGAAGAGTGGTTTTCTCCATTTCCATAGAAAAATTTTTGCTTGCTGGAAAAAATAACTAAGATCTCTTGGCTATCTAAAAGCGAACGAAATGGGCACAATATGACTGAGAAGCGGAGCGACTTTGACAACGGAGAGCATTGATGATGGGCTTGAGAAGACGGGAATTAGTAGAAACCTCATTGAGGTTGTTTTTCTGTTTTTATGTTATTTTAATTTTTAATTTATTATTATTTCAAACTTGACTCACTGTGTAAAAAAAAAAACACAGCGAATCAAATTTGAAAATTCTCTTGGAATAAAAAAAATGCATTATTTGTTCCTTGGTTCTCGGAAAAATATCGAAAATTGTCAGCCATCAAAAATATTTTCGGGTTACAGTCAGCGTCTACGATCTACTTTTTTTTTTGCAGGCATCAACGAAAAGACACGAAAACTAGCCTTAACTGGAGTGCGAAGACAGGGAGGAAGTCCAAAAATTTGTGTATGTATGCTTCTGCTAGTGCAGACTCAAACTTGTTATATTTGCGATGTCTCACAGATTCTTTCCAATGATTGAAAAAAAAACGTAAAGGATCGTAACAGTTTAAGGACCGAGTCACAGCTAGGATTTGAATGATCAGTTAGCAAATTTGATGGAAACGATGCTTCTGGGCCCAGAATGAACGAATTGGAACCAGTAGGTAACAATAATGGCCTAAAGCTCATTTTCCGCACTCAAACGGCACCGAATTTTTGCACTTGTAAGATGAGTCATATGGCTGGAGAATTTTCATAGATCTGACCGAGACCTACTTATTTAGAGAAAACCAGGAAGTTCACCGACGGAAATGAGTACTCGTTGGAATACACAGAGTGTTCCATAAATTAATTTACCGAGGGATTTTCACTTTAATTAATTTAGTTAATGTTGTGTGAAAGTGTTTTTGTTATTAACGGCCGTTATTGTTAAACTTTTTTTTTCATTCTAAGTGAAGGGAGACGCACGCTTAAAAATATATTCCTGACATTTAAATTAATAACGAAGTTAATAAGAATTTACTGCTGCATAGCTGAAAACTCCTCAGTAAACTGATTTATGGAACGCCCTGTATATCTATCGAATTGCAAAGCCTGCGCAAGGGATTGTTTTCATTTACAAGTAGTTTAGTATTCCTGGAGAAAGAGCAAGAAAGAGCCAGGAAGACCTCGGTCTTGCGCTTCAGAGAAAAAGGGGATTGTTTTGCGTCCCCCTATTCTGCTTAAATCTGTATTGCTTCAGCATCTTCACATGGCTGAGAAGGAGCGTGAACATTTTTCAGTAAAATGAAATGAATCCAAATAAGATATAGATTTCGAAATTGCACGTTGTAAAAAAAAAACTAAAACTCCATGACCGACCTGTAGCACTTTCCCTGGAACCCACTCGCTCCCCTCAGTTTGAGAACTGATGTCCTAATTGCTACAGCGTGTTTTGTCTCGAAGGTGAAAAACAGGACCTTGCGCGATGAGACCATTTGTGATATACAGTAGAGTCACTGGACCAACCGCAATTTCACATGAGGAAAAAGTGAGGTTCGAGTAGTCAAGGGCAAATAATGCTTTGAATGCTTTATGCTTTTGGGTGATAGGACTTAAAACACCCTCTCCGTTCCCAAGATTTTTAGCCTTAAAAAAAATCTTTCTCGTTTGCATAATAGATTGATGAGACAAGGAAAAAGGACAGGACAAGGACAGGAAACGACAATCTGAGAAAAGTAACGAGGGAAATGTCTCACCATCGTGTTCTTGGCTATAGGAGGTAAAACGCTCTCTCAGACACTAGTACTTCCAGTCCAGTCCAGTCCAGCACCGGTTCTCGGAGGTGGAGCGTTCGTGCTTTGTTATATCTGTTACTCTTTATGACGGGCAGATGTGCAGCGGCAGCTCTGACCTCACTCACTCCATTCCACCGTCATAATGAATCTCGGGACACAGATACTCCGTACGCGATCGTAAAGCCCATAAAAAAAAATCAGACCTGGTATTAGGGCATAAAAATAACGTGGTAGGGATCCGAAAATAAGATGAAAATAACATGGAATTATGGGACCGGTGGACCCGGGTGACATGAATCCAGCCAGGCATTGCGATCTGAACCCCTGACCTCTCCCCAAAAACTGGATTCGAGAAAATCGATGTAAAAGTAATTCGTCCGTGTTGTGACGGAAAGGGTTGAAACGAGACCCACGTGGCGACGATCCGCATGCGGTCAGAAGTCAACGGGATGGGGAGGAAGGGGGGGGGCTGGCGTGGAGTGATCAGCATAAATTATCGGGAAGGGAACCAGTTCGTGGTGTCGAACAGATGGCGAACGTCGGGGTAAAGACACGGTGAGGACGCGGTGACGACAGGGTAAAGACCCTCCCGAAAGAATTTGCTTCCGTTTCAGTCCCATCCAGTCTCGGTTCCGCAACGAACCTCGGAGGCCCTCGAAGGAAAATGGAGGAAGGGCGTTTTCTCTCTGTGTCCAATTCCACCGTGTTGTTACAGTGGAGTAATCTGGCCGTGGCTGGGATCCTCTTTGCTGCCCTGGGCACTTTGGCTTTGGCGAATTTCGGTCTTCCCGTCTTCGTCTTCAAGAAGCGTCGACGTCGACGATCCGCAGATGCAGGTGAACCCTCATCGGAGAACCTAGATCGCCTCCGTTCCGAAGGAGCTTCAAGCATTAAAGCGTTCTACTCACTATTATTTCTTGTATCATTATGATTACCTATAAACGTGAATAATTGGTTGATTGAGATAATCCGGAGAAGGGAAGTGGATTGGCCTCGTTTCAACATCCATTTCATTCTCTCAAGACGAGACGCCGTTATTAAAAAAAAAAAGGCCTGGTCTTCTTGCGAAGTGAAATGAAAGCGTGGGACTTGACTGGATGTCACGGCCGCTAACCTTCCATCCCCTCCTCTTCCCCCCTGTAAAAATATTATTTTACCCCCCCCCCCCTGTCGTCACCGCGTCCTCACCGTGTCTTTACCCCGACGTTCGCCATCTGTTCGACACCACGAACTGGTTCCCTTCCCGATAATTTATGCTGATCACTCCACGCCACCCCCCCCCCCCCCCCCCCCATGCTATAGAGAGAGCTAGGGAGTCGTGCGGACTCACTCGTGAGGACGAAATCCGAGAAAGGTGGAATTCTCATTAGTCGGTCGATGGACGTCATTGCGAGCTAGAAAGCCAGAAATTTCCGCATTCGTCTGGTTTTTGGGAAAGAACCATACAGTGCTAGCCTTGAATTGTATGCATCTGCAATACAGATGAGAGGTGAGTGCCCGATCAAAACATACGGTTCCTTCGCATTCGAGCGTAAAGGACGCGAGCACAATAATGAGAGGTCAAGGTCATCACCGTGTAAAATCATGCATCCACATCGTCAGAGTTGTTCGTACATCCAAGAGAAAAGAATAAAACTACCTGTCGCCCAGCTGGCTCAACTCACCGTTCGATCTCCAACAGAAGGGAGAGGAGAAAAGGGAGCGAATGACGGGAGTCTGATTAGTACTGTGACTTCCTCCAGATGACGTCACAAACAGCATATTCGATCGCGGTAAAAAGCAAGGGAAGCATCTCAGCCTTCCACTTTTTTTTTTTTAACTCGTCGCTCTGTGAATACTCTCTAAAGGAAGTAAGGAGACGCGTAACTGTCGCTTGCGAAGGGTAGATGTCGGGGGACTCGGCTATCAGGGTTGTCTTTAGAGGTCGGCTCAAGCTGTCCCTTTTTTGGGGTCAGCTTCAGCGTGGGAGACTCCGCGAAGGAAGAGGAAACGCTTATTCTTGAGTCCTGTCAAGCCCGGACGGTCATTTCACCAGAGGATGACGATGATTCATTGCGACCACGGTTTCGTACCTGGGTCTTCATTACGTGGATGATTGATGTTGATTTGTAGGCTTACAAGAGGGAAAGCGGGAACGAGAACTGATGGAAACTTTGTCGGCGTTGGAAGAGGCTTTTGCTCAGTCCCAAGTCTATTCGCAGGATTGCCAGGCGAAATTCATCTGCCTTGCTCACCTCGACCCTCGACATTCCGCTGTTTCGGACATCATCAGGTGCGGCAATTGCTCCCACGCACGCACCACGCACACGCACACGCACTACTATATATTTATTTTTATTCAATTTCCCCCCCTTTTATTAGGAAGCTGAATGGGAAGGAAACGAGGCGGAAGGTGAAAGAAATGTTGGAATGGGAATCCTGGCGAGATTTCCGCAAATTCCTGGCAGCTGGCACCTGGGGAAAAAACCAGGGAACCTGTCACATCTACGACCGAGCTTGTCCCGATTAATTTATCAAGCCAAATCGCCTTATTTATTGCATTCCTCTGAGCGTCTCCAGAATATAACGACTTTCTGACTCGTTATTCTTCTCGCCCTTTCGACCCGTGCAGGTGGGGATCTCTTTTTTCTCCCTGATGTATGGGAGAAAAGAGGAGGCTGACTGTTGAGATTGGAAAATCTCCGCCTCGGGGCTTTTTCTTCTTCTTTTTTTCTCTTTCTCTGAGGACTCAATTGAAGGACTCGGCAGGGGTCCTCCTCGCAATTTCCACGGTATTTTTCCCTTCACGCGAAGCATGCACACGTATTTGGAGCGTATTTCCATTTATCAAACCCCCTGCCCAAAACGGAAGTTCCCTCTCCCTGGTTTGTTTTAAGGAGGGGGTGTGCAAAAACAAACAAAAGAGATAACGATGGAGGGGATGATCGGGTGTAGCCAGAGGGTGCCTCACGCGCCAGGCGCGCGAAGGCGCGTGAATGCGCGTGACCGGACGGGAAGGGGGATGGAGGTTCTCTCCCGTCCCTTCAGTCTCTCTCTCGAGTTCTCACCTGTACCGTCACACCCCTGAGTGTCTTCTTCTTCGTCTCCGTTTCGGTACTCTCGTCGTGGTGAGTCCCTTTCCCAGGTTCCATAAATATCAGTGATGATTGCGGGGTTCCCGAGGAAGGTCAGTTTCGCGCGCCCCATGCATCCGGGGGATCGAAATGAAATTCCCTCCCCCTCATCGATTTTCCCATCACGTTTACGTTATTACACGGGGTCGTAAAACCTCCCGATGAGATCCTTCGCCACGGGTCCTTTACCACGATGCATGGTAAAGGACATGTAACGAATCTGAGGATATAATTTTAACGGCCTGTATCTTCAAACTTGCCTCGTCTGTTGACTGCCTGAGAGGAAGAAGGTACTCGAGTCGAGTACCCTCGAGACCTAGATACACGGTACTTGACTTCGTTCCCTATCTCAAGTGAAAATACTGCATGAAGCTTAGAGGGAACCATGATGGAAGTACACAGAAGACAATTCCGGTCATAAATCCTGACCAGGAGTGACAGCAGGTGTGAATGAATGCTAATGAGGACCAATGAGGACTTCCTTTTTACTCCCCAGATAACGTCTTAATGAGATGACACTTAGCTCATTATCATCTCCATCCACCAACAAAACAACAAAAACAGCCGGAAATCCCGCGATAACGACGTGCGAATAACACACATCAGAGACAGAGAAAAAAAGAAATTGGAGGTCCAGTGTGGCTATTGTGGGAAGGAGTGACAGGTGAAGAAGTTATGGACCTGTCCCGCGAGGGAGACAAGTCTATATACGAGCTGGGATACAAATGGTCCAAACCAGCTCTGGAATTCCCTTCCTCACTCCCTCATTTGTAAACTGGTCACAACCAACGCGATCTTTCTTTTTTCTTTTTATCTTCCTACAACATGACACGTTTTCTCGGTTGATGGATCGTGACTGATTGCGGAAGAAAGTAGGCACGTCGTCCGCCACACCGAACCGGATTGTGACGTCCTCCGTGTCGCCCGCGACCGCGAGGCGACGGGTCATTGTGACGTCGTCGGTGTCGTCTTCTGCGTGCTCTGCTTTACATTCCTTCGAGCATGTGCAAGATATGATGGGGCGAGGGATTCCAGTAGTCCGTCCTTGTTCCATTTCGATAGAATGGACCTGAGGGTATTTTCAAATGCAGGTGTGAGGTGGGAACGAGGCGTGAAAAGAGCATCCATACGTCTTTCTTTTTTTTTTTCTTTTTCTAAGCTGGACCAGGCATGGCCTCGGGGGATGATTGTGGTTTTCAAACAGAGGAACGAGTCGTAAACGTCATTGACCATACACGAAGGGAGCAGAAAAATTATTGATGAGACGGACGAGTAATTAAACTCGAACTAATGCAGACGTCATGAGAACAATGAAAAAAGGGAGGGGAGATAATCCTCCCCGTCAGGGTTGTCACGCTGCCCCGTCTCCAGTCTTATCTCCCTTCTCACAGTGATGTCACCCAGCCCGGGACGATGACGGTGCCATCGATCCTGTTGGTGTGGTTTGTGCTCGGGTTGTCCTACGCCCATCTGGATCTTTACATGATGAAGGAAGAAAGGGATAGGATATTGGGTGAGTGGACGAAGGGATCCGGCAACCCCGTGACGAGTCCCAATTATCTCCTCGTTCCATCTTGACACCTGGGTGGAATTAATTCCTTCTCTCCACCCCTCGGTGGCAAATTGGAGGAAAACATTTTTTCTCCCTTTCGACAGCGTCATATGCATCGTCGGCGGAGGGAGGAGGAGAGTCGGAGTGGAAACCAATATATTACATCCAGAACGGATTGGTCAACGTTTACCCCCTCCGTTACAAGATAACCTTGTCGGGTTCCATCCCCTCCCTACGTTTCACTTGGCACAACACCCGCGCGGAGATCAGCTCCATCAAATACGAATTGGACGTCCAAGTGGAGAACTCGACCTTTCTGCAGGCCGAGGCAGACATCCCGGTGTCAGGGTCGGTCCCCGGGGATCGTCCCCACACCTGGACCGTCTTCCTCCGGTGTGCACCTGGGTTGAGGGAGTCCCACCAAGTGGATCTCTGGATCTTTCTCTCCTTCTATGGACTCCCGCCCGACCCTCGCTTCCCCACTGAAGTTTTTCTGAACTGGACCAAAGTCTGCCTTCATCCACCTCCCGGTTCGTCTCCTCTCGGTATTATTCACTTACAAATATGGTTGCCACCCGTTCACAATTAGTATGGACAGTACATATTTCAGATGCAATGTCCATACTGCAAACTGGTCTTGATATGGACACTGATTTGTCAATATTTTAAACTTATGAAATTTTTTTTAATTAACAAAGCTTAATAGCAGCCGAAAACCGCCCATTTCCGAACGTCAAAAGCAGTAGGCCACACGCTTATAGTATCAATTGGCGCCTTGGCGTGAAATGGCTGTAACTGCATACGTAAGTATACTTCGAATATTTGTCCGTATTTTGTTAAATTCAATGGTGGCAACCATACTTGCAAAATTAATTAGAAATTAATTTGGTAAGAGGAAAGAGAGAGCGTATGCAACTGCCGATTTCTTTAATCGGGTTGAGAGCATGCCATGCAGTCGGCCTGGTGGCCCTCAGCTGTCAAAATGATCTGTAATCTGACGATGATGATGTACATGCTTCCACATCACATAAGTGGGTTTAAGCGTCGTTATCATCATAAGGGGGAGTATCTGGACCGGAATTGGCACTTCCCATTACCGCTCGAGTGAAGGCGATTTGCCTTGATTACATCATCCGGCAAGGCCAAAAGGAGCACGGCATGAGTCAGGCTAATGATCATCTGCTCAAATATGTATCAATCGCGTCCTTGCTTAAATGCACCGGGAAATTGTGGACTACGTTTGTGCTGATGGCGCTCGAGATGCACCGTCATCGTGCCCACCTTCGTGATGAGGTGGCAAGATGTTAATGTCATCACGATGCTCGTGCGTTCGCAGTCGTCAAAGCCTCATGCGATGATTTGCCTTGACGCGTTCAGCCCATTAGTGGTCGCCGTTTCGGTTCATAGTTTTGGCCAGCGTTGACTCCTTATCGGCATAATACATTTAATATATTCAATATAATTTGCTCGTATATACTTGCATCACCCGAGCATTCCACTTGTCAACTTCACTTACGGTCATTTGGTTGGCGGCAGAAGTATTGAAAATTTATTTTCCATTTTTCTTCTACTCTTGATTCGTGTATAGCCGTGGAATCAGCATGTGAAGACCCCATAGAGGGTGTCCAGCCTTTTCATAACCCTATGGTGCAGCGCGTCCATGTTTGTGAAAAAAAAATTCATTTTACAACCTCCATTCGACGCAGCTTCCACACGGACATCATGTCCCTATAACGTACATCGTTACAAAACGAATGCTTCGTTTTGTAACGTTCGTGAGTTCTCCCTCAGAAACTTTCTCGTTGCGAGGAAGAGCTGTTTCTGAGGACCACCTCGCAAATGCTTAGATTTGTAACTATTTTTTTGGCGTCCGACCTTTTAACGGATGCTGTCCGAACATTGATGGATTTACCCTACCCTGGTGATGGATTTACCCTGCCACTCTCCAGTGTCCCCTACATGCAGGGTGGGCCAAAAAAATATTGTTTTCAACGATGCACTACACTGCACTCACTGCATGTATTTTAATGCGGTTCACGGCAATTGAAAGAGACACGAATAAGTTTTAAAATTGTGTACTTACATTTCAAATATCTTGAACAATTTTTAAAATTTCAGAACTCATAGGAAGAAATAAAATTTGGACAATAACGCATAAATTTGTTTAAAGTTCATAAGAACTTCAGGAGTTTCTGAAACTGTTAGATATATCAGGTTGATTCATTTGAAATGGCGTTTTTTTGTTTTTTTAAAGTGATAATTTATTCAATATCATATACACTAATCAATAATATATTTTCCGTCTGAATCAATAACCTCCTGCCACCTTTTTGATAGTTGCAGGATTCCTCTGGCGTAGAAATCCGCTGGCTTTGAAACAAAATAGGCAGCTATTTCGTTTTTGAGATCTTCATTTTGAAAATTTTTTTCCTGTCAGATGGCTCTGCATCGAGCGAAACAAGTGGTAGTCTGATGGAGCACGATCTGGAGAGTATGGTGGATGTGCTAAAACTTCCCATTGCAGCTCCCTGATTTTTCATTTCACAATTCGAGAAGTATGCGGTCGAGCATTATCATGCAGAAGAATGACTCCCTTTCGATTGACCAGTGCTGGTTGCTTTTGGGGTAGCGCTTGGTGTAGTCGATCCAGTTGTTGTGCGTAGAGATCGCCAGTAATCGTTTGGTTCGTGGGAAGAAACTCGAAATGGATAATCCCTTTCATATTCCACCAGACACAGAGCATGATCTTTGGATGTAGTCCAGCCTTTGGAGTTGGTTCTGGCACCTGATCTTTGTCCACCCATCGTTTCCGCCGCTTAATGTTAACATACAGGACCCATTTCTCATCTCCGGTCACGATTTGATCTAAGAAAGGCTCGCGATTTAGACGCGAAGAGAGAGAAATGCAAGTGTTGTAGCGCTGCATCTCATTCTCAATGGATAACGTGTGCGGAATCCATTTTCCGATTTTCTGAAATGTTCCAATCTCCTCAAGTTGCCTGCAGATGGTTGACTGAGAAGTGTCAAGTCTATCCGCCAACTCCCGCTGCGTTAAGCACGGCTCAGAGTTCACTACATCTTCCAAGGAGTCCTTGTTGAGGTCGCTGATTCGATTTCTGGCCGGGTCATCTTCCAAGCTTTCATCACCAGATCTAAATTTCTTGAACCATCTTTGGCACGTTCGAACAGAAAGAACACCATCTCCAAAAGCTTTTCAAATGTTTTTGGTCGCATCTACGGCGTTTCTTCCAAGTTTGAATTCATAAAGCATGCAAACACGAATATGAGACTTTTCTACCGACATCTGGAATTGCAGGGGGAAAAGGATAGATTAAAAGAAGAACAAACAGAAATGAAGCAGAATCACCGCCACAATATCAGCTTTAATTTAATATGTAACAAGTCAAAGTGATCTTATCTTATCGGCTGAAATATGATAGGATTTTCATATGGTACCAGGAAACGCCATTTCAAATGAATCAAACTGATATTTGAATTCTAAGTACACCTGTCATTCCTCTTTCAAATGCCTCAAACGGCAAACATGCAGTGAGCGTAGTGTAGTATATCGTTGAAAACTGTCCTTTTTTGACCTACCTTGAATTTCTTTTGATACCCAATGGTGAGGGTCTCTGTCATTTAATTAATTTGATGAGCGTGGAACGATTATTGGAATTGTCGTGAAAGCGCTGGAACGAACTCCAGAGGGAACGCTCTTACCTCTGGAGCAACCATAAGTTCCTCATCGACGTGGACTCCGTGCATTGAGGCAAAGCACGTCCTGGACGCCACATATGTGGTGTATTAACATGGTGCATGTCCAGGCAGAGTGTAAAGGCCTTTGGGTTCCATGCACGCAACAGCGGCATTGTACATCACGCATGAATCCTTCATCTTCCATCATTCCGTTAATAGAGAATCCTTTAAGGTACGACTTTTTCTCGTTTTAGAATTTTTTTCCCATTTTTCGCTTTCGCTGTTACTACGCGCAGCCTTGTGATATTTAAGTTACAGTAGTCTGCATTTTTCACGGACTTAGAACAGGAACGTAATTGAAATATCCAGCATGCCCTCGTGGCTTCTAATTTTTAAAAACTATCTTTGATAAATAATACAGAGTGTGCCTTTGCTTTCATCAAAATCATTTTTCATGAGCGTTTCATTGACCATGATTCAATCTTGATTCAAAGAGGAAATTCCGCATTTACTTCGGGCTAGCGTTTGTAGTTCTCCTTTTCAGCGTATTGCCAATTATAATCAAGATGCATTCCATTACTCCTCGTTCTTATACCATTATGCTTAAATATATTAATAAGAATAATGTTACCATAACATTCGTTGGACTTAAATGTTTCCACGAGAGTACGAAGCCACGGAGCCTTCATCGCTGACTTCTATTTTTGAAAAGTGTATTAACATTATTGTCCGAAAACCACACTACATGTTCCTGTATGGAACACACTCTAAGTTTCTGAAATAGTCCAAGACCGCTTTTTGAAACCACAACTGCCTCTTGTAGGCGCACAAAGGAAGTGTTTCTTCTGAGCTTCTCACGAGCATTAGCAGCTGGTAGGAGTGCCACGGGGTGCCGCCTGTTATCTCCATGGACCGAATGGTTCAGGGGTGTCACCGGGTGTCACACTCGATACACTGTCACATACACACACACACACACAAGTAGGGTTAGTAACACGGGCGAGTCGCATCAGGCGATGGAAGCTTGCACAAGCGGTCCGTCGGCCATGTGATGCATATAATCAGGGAGGGGCGGTAAAAAAAGATGAAGAACATCATGATGTGCAGATATCCCAAAAAGGAGAGGGATTTAACGGGCTTTGGTCACGAGAATCGCGATGGAAGATAAATTAAAAGGAAAAACGGGCTTACTTTTTTTTTTCTTCCTTATTTGGCGTTTCCCAACGGTTTCTCAGCAAGATTTCTTCCGGCGTCCTGAGAAATTACTGGTCGACCGGTAAGATTGGAAACGAGGAAATTGACACAAAGACAAATAAGACATTCTAATGCATCGCTTAAACCTCTTTTTATTTTCTTCCGTTAATTAGTGCAGATCACAAAACCAGGCCGATTGCTCAATTGTCACTAATACTGAGTTCCTGTTCTGTGAAGATGCATTTAGATTCTTTGATTGATGGAAATGGGAAAGAAAAATGATCGGTCGGGAGGCCTCCAATCGGACCGAGATTTGTGTGAGAAAATTTCCCTTTTCAAGTGTTCTCAGGTGTGTTCGTTAAATTCTCAGGCACTCCAGTAGGAAATTGATGCTCCCGGTATGTATTCAAGTACTTTTCATTTGTACTCGAGATATCTGCACAAATGCGAGCGTGTTATCGTTGAGTAATTCATGTTGGAATGTTTCTCCGTTTTTTACGCTGAAACCGTAAGGAACGCGGATTTTTTGCCACTTTCCCAGTATCGATGGGCCCACTTGTCACTATTTACGCCTGGTTTTGCGGTGTGTTTTGCAAACGCGCAGTCTCACCATGCGGAATAAAAGCAGGCGCATTTTTCTCACGCGCATCTGTGGAGGAAGAGGAGACCTTCCATCATCATTTCCCTCTGCTGTTCTATCTCTCTCATCCGCTCATTATGGTATCATTATTTGTCAGCGGGTACTTGGCCCTTCGTTTCGCTGCACCTTGACTTAGTGCTTAAGCAATTACCGAATTCAGGACTTGTTGGCTGGCTGAAAGTGCATCTTCGTTTAGCAATGCGTACTTTATACAGAGCGATTTTTTTTTATCGGTCGACCCAGAAAATAATGCACAGCGCAAGAGCCACTTATAACATTAATTTTTCTCAGTCACTGCTTATTACATCTCGTCTTTACTTCCTGGATACCACATGATGGAAAGCCAAGATTTCCCAGGACTAGACTGCATCCGCTGCTGGATGCAGTCTAGTCTTTTCTCAAAGAATACCCCTGCATGATCTCCACTGATCAATGCTCTCCACTCCTGAATGCCCTCCACTGCTGAATGTCCCCAGAAACTGAACGCCCCCCCCCCAGCACTAAAGGCCCTACATAGCTTCCTGAGTTGTGAGAGGGCCTCGACGATCGCGTTTCGTCCCACGAACACTCCCAGTACTTCCGAAGCGTTGCATACTCTTTTTATGTTATAAATTGCCTGCGTTCTCGGTGCAATTCTCTTTCCGAATTGCTGTCTCGACTCGTTTTCACACACCATGAAAGATCTGCTTCTCACATTAGCTTCGATCACAAAGACGTTGTTCCGAAGTTAACGCCACCTTGTCTCATGGCGTCAGACCGTTTGTAAGCGCGGCTTCAGCGGCTGCCAGCCGCAATGATTGTTAATACGAGGGATGTTCCAGCTTAAAAACTTCGGAGCTCTTCAACATAATCCCCACCGACATGAACGCTCTTTTGCATCCTACTGAGCCACTTTTGAAATCCCTCTTTATAGGCTTTTTGTAGGCTTCTCTTCAGGCACTACCTCTTCAGCTCTGCCAATGTCTTCGATTCGGTGAAACTGGCTCCAAGCGAGGTTTCCTTTGGGGGTAAGGAACAGCCAGATGTCTAAGGGGGCCAAATCAGGGGAATAGGGTGGATAGGATAGGACTTCCACTTTATTTTCTTCCAGAAACGTCTGGGTCACCCGAACCTTATGGCTGGAAGCACTTTCATTCACCCAGACCCAGAAGTGTGACACAGAAGAAAATAAAGGAGAAGAAAATAAAGCCGAAGTACTTTCCTCCTATCCTAATCCTATTCCGTCAAGGAATACCAAAAAACGCCTATAAAGAAGGATTTCAAAAGTGGCTCAGTAGGATGCCAAAGTGAGTTCATGTTGGTGGGGATTATGTTGAAGAGCTCCGAAGATTTTAAGTTCCAATTGTTAAAAATTGTTATCCAATTGTTAATAAGTTTTTGAGGTGTGGTAATTACTTATTGAACATCCCTCGTTAGTAGTGACCATGAAAAGTTTCCTTGTTCTAACTTTCTCGTTAGAGAGATTCTGGTACAGTGTATTATTTTTGGTGTCAACCAAGATCAGTCTCCCTGCGTGAACAGCGCCTGACGACTTAAATGCTGTATGCTATAGCAGGTGAAGCAAAAATCTGCGCAATGCAAGAAGAATCCGTAGAATGCAAGGTTTAGCTGAAACTCATGCTATTTCGTTATGACCCCTTACGGAAATCATCTTAATTGATTCGCATAGTGAAATGAATCGGATTACAGTTGAACAGGCCAATTTAGGAGGTAATTATGGCCACGACGGTAGAAGTGACTGCAACGTATTTTTCAACAGCGACTGTTTATTCATTTATGACAGTTTATGACATGAGGGCATTAAAGAACAATAAAAAAAATATATACATAATAAAGAAAAGGTCCTTCCAGAATTTCGGCCTTAGATCTCGGCAACGGGATGACACAGATAGATGGTATTCGCAGTTCACGATGACCGGCTCTACCGTGTAAATTTGCCACCGTAGGAGTTCGATCGGTGCGTCAATTTTTGTGTGGGTGAGGACAGGACAAAAGACTGGCGCTACCGTACTTCCACAAGAATTCAAGTTTCTTGCTGCGTCACCTTATATATGCACTTTCCTCGTTGAGCTTCCGGATGACGGAATCCGAGCTGATGGAGTCGATGAGCCGAACATCTAGCATCATAACTCCTTTTGAAGAGGAATGTTACATTTCTGTAAGACTGGATAAGGACTCCGATGTACACCGTCGATGGCATTCTCCTGCTCGAGCGATGGATGTGCAATTGCCATATCATCCATTAAGAGAAAAGCACCAAGTGGTGGATGGCACTGCTTTGCGTGGAACTTCAATTTCTTCCTTTCGAGCCATTGGATTCCATCCTCGGAAGGAGTGTCTGCGGCGATGCCTTCTCTGGGAATCGGCTTCCAAGTGACCCGAAAATTCTCTCACGACTCGGACGTCTCCCGACCCGACGACCGAGTCTTCTCTCGAATTTTTTTTTTTTAGAATCACACGGGTGTCTGGTAGAGATCGATCGCGTACGTAAAGCACGTTGGATTTCGTTTCCGAAATTAGAAGCTGTCGATTCCGATGTCGTTTGGCTTTCCCACGCGAGCGAGAGAAAGTCGGCATCGACGTCGTTTCTGGCTCTCGGTTAAGCACTCCTTCGCCTGTTATACCTTTAGGCAAACCGGAGGCCTACTTCGTCCGATTCCGTCTCTTCGACTCCTCCGATGTTTAATCTGTCATTTCCCGGGATTCGGCCCGTAACCGCAGACGGAAACCACGGACGGCGTTTTGCATTAGGCTTTTGGTTTTCCTGATCGTGATGGTCGTCACGTCGTTCCTCGGATGAAAGTCACGTGACTGAGGTGCACGGATGTAGCTGTCGCCTTGGTTGGAATCTTCCTCCAAGGTCAGGATAGTGGTATACATTATTCTATTATCACGTCTTGTGTTGCCATTTTACCATTTTTAGAAGTCTCATACCATCGTTCATCTCTTCGTTCCGTGTAACCATCGCTTCTAATGGGATATATGATCCCTTTGACCTTCGACCTTTGGTCCTGCACGTAAGGGTTCTTGGCGTCTGTTATTGCTTGTTGTGATCGAGTGCTGGCGAGGCTCCCAAGCTGTTTTGTTTGAGCATGACCACCCAAGTCTCACAAAGAAGACCAACAAAAATCGTATTGGCTTTGTGTTGAACTTCCGGTGATTTCTCTGGTGCCTTTTCATCGTCGAAACCCGAACCAGACTTATACGAGGTTCCAATCATATTCGAATCACCACTGCTTTGAAAAGACGAAATCCAGAAATAACGAATTTCCAGATTATATCGAGTCATTTCACGGATCAGAATAAAATATTTTGGAAAATGAGTCACCAAACAGAACTCTTATGAAAATTGCATTTTTTTTTTAACCGTATTGAATTTCAGACTTCATAATCAAATGGTTGAGATGCAAGACTGTTCAACAAGTTGAGTTTTTTTTAATCAAAGGAGGAAATAATACGCCATGCAGCTCGAAATAATAAAAAAATCCCTCATTAAATTGGTTTAATTAACATGTGGCTCTGGCCAAACCTCGTTATTTGATGATGAATCGAAAAGCAAACCCTGTATTTTATTCGCTGTTTCAAATGGAAATTTGCAAGTCAGATTGGTTCATTTCTGCTTTATTCTCAAAATAGTTTATATCAAAATATTGACTGTACCACTTTAAAAGGGTCTCGTGAAATACATTGACATTCGTCGGCTTTCCTCTGTATGTCTACTCTAATTGAAAACTGGATTTTCCGCTCCAGTGAATATATATTGAATGATAAATAAAAATCCAAATGTTAAGAATTCTGGACACCGGGACTAAATAGGTTAAAGAAAGTGTGCACTAGTCGGAATGAAACCTGAATTGATTTTTTTTTCCCTGTGTCACCTATCCACGTGTGCAGCATTTATTTCGAAACGCTCCGACGCCTGTCTGGCGCCGACGCTGAATCGTTGAGAATTGGCTAATTTCTGAAGAGTGCAAAAGTCGATGAACTGCTGCACCCAAAATGAAACGGGATCCTCGAAGTGTATACGGCACCGACGAAGAAAGCATGACACTGGAACAACTCCCAACCGGGGAAAAGTTTAAGTTGGAAAATTTCCTATGGTTCGGGGAACAAGCCTCTTAAAATTTTTTGTATTTTTTTTCAGAATTTAGGAAATCTGGAAAGAGAAGCCAAGAGAGTGAATACATGAGCAAGTGAATAGGAGGGAAAGGGGGAGTAGTACCGGAGACCGTGCGATTAAAATTGGGAGATATACAAAATTATGTAAAGACATACAATTAAGGATTTTAAGGCAATAAACAGTGTAAAATAGGAAACTCCGCGGCAAAATCAGTCAAAACTAAGAGGGAAAAAAGGGCTAACTGAAAATAGAAAATATGGAATTTAAAAAGAAAGGAGTAGAGGAAAAATAGAAAGAGATGGATGTGAAAAGCTCAGAGTCGTCAGAACAAGAAAGTAGTCGACTTGGAAGGCGAGGGAGGGGAAACGGAGACGGAGGGGAGGGGGAGGAAGGGGGAAGGGAGATGAAACAGATAAGGGTTGAATGTCTTAGGAAGGCTGGGAGGCAGTGTTGATGGATGGTTTTATTTTAGAGATCCTAAATTTCCTCCCGCATACACGCAGAGCTTCCGTAGAGTGAATCCCCCTTTTCTTCTCGTTCAAAGCTGAAGAGGGAGGAGAGGCGCCGCTCGGACCGGGGGACCCGGCGTTGCTGTCCAGCCCCACGGAGGTCATCTACATCGTGAGCGGGGCGGCACTGGGCGTCCTCGTGGTCCTCATCCTCCTCGCCCTCGCATGTTACTATCGGAGGTCGAAGTACAGGCCCGTGTCGCAGCAGGTGCCGCCGCCGCCACCCTTGGTTCCGCCTCCGCCTCCGCCGTCCTCGGTCTCTCCGCATCCGTATCTGCTTCCTGGGTGAGTCGGGTGGAGCGGGCGCGATTGGTAGGTGCTATCGATGGGTGACTTAGGGATCTTTCGCCCTTACCGGTTATAAGACGGCGATGATGAAGCATGGCCATCGGTAAGGAAGTATTTCAAGGAACATTTGGCGCCTCCCCTGAGAGAATGGCTTGCACCAAAAAAAGCTTATCATGAACTCAATCTCATTCTCTCAACCTCACCACGACCAGGAGTAAATCTTTTTTATTCTATGCCAAACAAAAGGGCATTCTTGTCGTTGGTGGTCTACTGGCCAGTGGTCTACACCCAATACCCATAACCCTTCAAAGTAATGAGACACAATGAGCATGTCAATGTAACCCTCATGGAAACACTCGGCGAATGTCTTTCAATAGGCTTAAGAAAACATCAGTGTGCTGGTTAATTGAGCGCCACCAACATTCTTTCAGATGTCGTAGAAGCATGTCTTGGTTGATGCCGTGCATTTTCCTAAGAATTTTCACTTTCAATACCGACCACAGGGATTCAACTGTCTGCGTATTGGCACCAGTTATAGGATCGACAAAGTTTGTCTGGTGGTTCAAAGTTTCGTGTCGATATCCATACTGGATCCATACTAGGAGCCGACCAAGAATGGCCTTCCTCTTTCCCCGGAGAAGAGCGTCGTCGACTTCCACCTGTTGACCATTCCCTCCCATTGGGTCTCTCAAGTCAAACACATGAACACACACATCTCGACATAAGTTAAACCAATCATTTACGGTGTGGGCGCCACAATCCGGTAACATTGAAACAGTTACTTGTGGTATGTCCAGTATCCCGTAGTAGCACAGTTCCAAGATCTTCTGAAGGGAAAGGTTGCAGCATCCGCGAATGTAAAGAAGTCCTTCCTTTTGCGAATCGATTGGTTCGCTTGACATCCACGTCTCGTGCACCTCAATGTGTGATATTCCCTGACGGAACCATCAGCAAGCCTCTTCTTGCGTATTGTGGATTTCACCTCACTTCCACACCTCCGGCAATTCGGTAAATCATCCACACTCCGAAGCAGCCCATGCTCACGCAAGAATGCAACACAGCTCTCTTACGTAGCAATCACGGAGTAAAACTCAACAGCCTTCATGATAATGATGGAATGAAAATATGTCATGTCATAAATTATGTTCTCATAATTTACAGGTTCAAGTCTTTCCCTTGATAACTATCCCTGACGCTCAGAGGATTAAGAGATTATCCCTTTACCTGGTGTAGATGGAATTAATCCTTTTTCTGGAATCGTCAGGGAGGCGTGGTGTCAAGGTTCATGTCCAAGATAAGCCACGTCAATGAATTCAAGTCAGGACTCCTAAATTTTTTTATGTTACCTTGAACTTTGGCACATCAACTTTTTTTTTTTTTACATGTTTTGGTGCGTAGACCACCAATGACCAGAGAAACATCAATGTAGACCACCAACGACAAGAACGCCAACAAAAGTCCGCCACGCTCGCGCTCTGGTGGTTCTGGAGGGAAGCAGGAAAAAGAAGAACCTAACTGTCCCATTTACTTCATGGCTGATTTCTTCTCTATAATCGAAACGATGTGTGCAAGATGTATAGATCCCTACCAGAATAATTTGAATAATAATTAAATAGGTTCAATTACAACTATTGTCGAGGATGCAGTGCATTGACATGTTCAAGAGCATATTCATATGGATGAAGGGTCTGCACGATACTAAGCTGTCTAGACCCATTCCGCATTGTTTTCTTCGAGGTAATTGCCATATTAAATGTTCTGCTTTTCTTAGGGCATTCTAATTATCTCTCTGTATCCTGCAATACTACTCTAAAAGTCCCACTGATGCGGACAAATCGCTTGGGAGAGACATTGACAACGGTTGCGGTGGATGATCTTTTCAGGGGGAGCACCACCGGGTCGTATGTGATCATGGATCATCCTCGCAGAGGAAGCAGCAGGGGGACACCCATCATAGTGGACCATGGATGCATGGGGAGCAGCAGCGGGACGTGCAGTGGGTCGTCTCGAGCGAGCACCGCATGGAGTCTCCCGGTCCAACTCCAGGTCTCTCACGTCTCCGTCGCTCTCGTTCGTCGCGTCGCGTCGGGTCGGGTCGGGTCTTCACGCTCTCGCGCTTCTAGGTGGAGGAGGTGGAGGAAGGAGACGAAGGGAAGGTGATGGTGGGGAGAGACACGTCATCCAGCCAGCTCCTGCTCGTGAAGGCCTTGCACAAGGAGCGACAAGACGGAGGGTGGAGGCGGTTCCTGCAGCAGGGTCTGTCGCTCCTGCCCGGCCCCGACGATCATCGGGTTCCGTCTTCTGCTCACATCCTCACGCCCGTCCAAGTCGTGGCCGACCTGCCTCGTCCGCTTCTCCTTTATCCTTACGCCGGAATCAATCTTAAAAGGTGAGTCGAGGAGTTGTCGAATTTTTACGGGGCATTTCTGCAGAGCCCTTCGAATCGGGTGCGGAGAAACTTCGGAACTTCGGAATCTGATCGTCGATAGTTGTTCACCTTGAAATATTTGCTGTGAAATTCCCAAGATCGGCAGGGTCACATACAGACGACCGTAACGCGTCTCGTCAACGTTCCGTGCAGATACTTGCAGGAGCTGGGCGCGAGTGGAGCCGAAGGAGAAGAGATCCTGTCGGTGGAGCAGATGACCCGAATCGGGAAGGAAGTGGCGGCGGCCCTGGTCTACATCCACGACGCCCTGGACCGGGTGCACGGAGACCTGGCAGCGAGGAACTGCTACGTGGACGTGGGAGCGGGGACGGTCAGGGTGTGCGACGCCGCGCTAGCATCCTCGCTCTTCCCGTTGGACTACGCGCCCGGGTCGCGGTGGCCGATGAGGTGGATGGCACCCGAGTGCCTGGCCGCCGGGTCCAGGGTCCCGGGGACGTGGGAGCAGTCGAGGACCAGCGATGTCGTACGTCTCTTTTCCGATTCGTTTATCGTACTTTGCATTGCGATTGGGGCCTCGAGTTCCGGTTAATTCGTTGACCGGATGCCAGCCGGTTAGCTGTCGGTTAAGAATCGCATTCCGCGAGAAAATTTTTCAAGAAAGATGGGGAATGCCGAAGTTGATGAGATGTCGATGCACATTGCAGTGGTCCTATGGGGTGTTCCTCTGGGAGGTGGTCACTTATGGCGGAAGACCCTACGAGGAACTCGGAGACTCTGACATCTTCACCTACCTGGAGCGGGGATTCCGGCTCGCCAAGCCCCCAGATGCATCTCTGCACATGTAACGCCACATTCACCCTCTGTTTATATTTTTAATTTTCAAATTTTAAATTTAAATTTAAATTATATATTTGTAATTTTCAGTTTTTAATTTCAAATGTTCAATTTTTTATACTTCATTTTATATATTTTTCTCGACTGCTAAATGGAATCGGTCTATTTAGGTATTCGGTGATGTGCGGGTGCTGGAGGTGGGAGCCGGGTGACCGACCCCGAGCGAGGCAACTCAACGCATCCTTTTCCTCTTCAAATTTCCTCTGAAACGGTTGAAAATTCTTCGTCATCGTTCGATCCAGTCAGTCCAAATAAAAGCCTGTGATATTCGTGCAGAAAGTGAGGCGAGTCCAAATCATTCGAGGTGCACAGGAGGTGCACGGTCGTCTTAACCGGTAACTGGTAACCGACAATCACATCGGTTTCCTATCCGAACACCGATTCATTTTTTAAACAATTAAATTAAATTAATAATTTTAAATAGGAATTCTTACCCCCTCCTCCCCCCATGAACCCTGCAAAAAGTCTTGCAACACTTTTTCATGTTGGAAAAGATGAATATCGGGCGTGAAAATGCAGAGGTCGTTATACTGCATTGTACCATGCCTTCACCCTATTCTCATTTTTTGGGAGTTGAGGTCTGCGAGTTCCTAATTTTAGTTTTCTGGGAATCGACCCGCCAATGGGTGTTTTAACGCATTCATTGCCATATTGTCAATTCACACATTCTCGCCACACACTTTAAACAATGTCAACATAAAATATTTTGGCAATAAAAATTCTGATATGAAAATCCGTTACCTTTTCAACTCGGGATGTCATTGCGACTTCCTCCCGTTGAATAAATTCCTGCTAATTCCGAAATCCCTGTTTTGTTTTTTTTTTTTTGTTGCCTTGAACTTTGGCAAATCAACTTTTTTTTTATTTACATGTTTTGGTGCGTAGACCACCAATGACCAGTCTTTTTTTTTTTTTTTTTTTTTTTTTTTTTTTGCACACCGCACTCTTCCACGTTTTCTTCGGATTCGGGCAAACTTTTTCCGTTTTTTTTTTTCAAATGTATTTTTATTTGTTTATTATATTTGCCTAACTGCAAATGCAATCGGGTCGTTCCCGATTCGATTTTCCTCGTGGATTTTCTCGCCTCGCGTTTCGTCTTTAAGCCCCCAAGTCCCCAAGAACTCCGGCTGGAAACAGCCAAGAAACTCATTCTCGATCCGATTGAGAATGAATCACGATTTTCTCTTTCAGCGTAATTGGAGGTGAGGGGGGAAATACTCGGCTTTACATTCTGTTTCCTTTCGCATCTTTTCGACACGGTGAGCGATCGACCTTCGAATGAGAAAAGATCATCAACTGTTTTCTGTTGGGTGTTCCATCCTTTTTCTCTTCGATGGGTGTTCAAATAAATTTTCGTTATTGAATAATAAATGCGAATGTCGTTGAAGGGTGTTCATTTTAATTTTCATGATAATTCGCTACTTCCTCAGGATCAGTTGTCCTGAATTCCGCACTTTTGTGCCGAGAATCAAGCCGAAATTTCGGTGAGCCGCGTCCATTTCACTGAAAGCGAAATAGCCAAATTCTTTAAAGGGATGAATGGGTTTTCACGAACGAGAAACTCGTAAAAGATTCGTGAAGTTTTCCAAGATTTTAAATATCTTTCAGTTGGAATACGAATAGAAAAGTGTGATTGCGATGCTTTTTCTCTTGATTCTGTCGCATGTTTTTCTCTTAGTTTGCCTTTCATCATTCCCACCTTTCTTTTTATCAAAATTTGGAATATTCGAAGATCACACGTACATGATATTCCTCTTTCCGCTTTTATCCGCTCCGCAATTCCGCATTTTACTCCGTACCTTGTGGGTAATGCCTTGACGCGGAGTGCGATTGTTTGCCGGTCTGACCGAGTGGACGCATTCTATGTGAGGGAAAGTGTTGTCTTTGGTGCAGTTCGTGAAAATGGACACCCAGGACACGTGGAAGGAGTTAAAGGAACTTCAGGAAAAAAGGACTCTTCGTCGAGAGAGATTCCACCAGAGGAAGAAGGAGAGGGAAACTCTGCTAAACTTTAGCAAAGGACCTGCTACTTCCGCTACAGCGCCTTCCACGCAGTGTTCCACCCATCCTGGTATCCTCACTGGTGAGCTCATAACTTTTTCAGGTTATGATAACTCAGTTGGGCCTAGCGTTAGCTATAGGCTGAATTTGGCTAGGCTTATATGAGTGGTGGAAACCGGTGACCTCTAACCTAGGGAGGCCTTTGCATCGAAGGTCTTTACACCAAAAGTCAGGACATCTTTCCCAGGGAAAATATCTGACATTAATGTAATACACGTAACTCCTCAAGGGCATATCTAGCTCAGCATGTAAATCTAGAGTAAGTCTTCGTGACTTGAGGTAAGGCTATGTTTATGTCGCATTTGCGCGTTTATGCCTCCATAAAGTGAAGTTTGACTCGTTTTGAATAGCCTGAGTTATATGCCAATTGCTAAGATCAAGATTTCATTGATGGGTGTGGGGGGACTTGAATTACCTAATCTTTCACCCCCGTAAATTGCAATTTAGTTTTTCACATCAATTTGACTTCTCCATTTCAGTATGTATGGACTTCTTGGGTTCTTTTTTTTTTCAAGTTTGGAAGTAGTTATTCCATCATTGTTGAGGTTAATGTTACTTCATTCGTTTTATTCTTTGTTTCTGCTTTTACATAGCCTTTTGGATAGAAACAATTAAAGTTCAATGTCTAGCCATTTGATTTCTTCTGGGGCTGCCTAATGGATGTAGTTTGTATCTCGTTTCAATGGTCCGATTGGACAATCACTTGCTATATTTTGGATGGTTTAGCTCTGTGTACCCCAGTCACGTTTGGGATTTTATTAAATTCTCTACTTATGAAATGGGTGTCTGCTGCATCTGTGTAGAGTCTTCACGTGGTTGATGGTGGACTGTTGTTTTCTTGGTGGGAAGAAGCCGGGTGGTTTGGTTGTTGGGTTGGTGATGAGATGCCTGTGCAGTTGTTTGGTGTAAGCTCAATCATGTTGCCAGCATTCTTAAGTCAAAGTGTTTGCCTTGTTCCAGAGAGGCTTTCTGGATTTCAAACAGTTGACCTGTCTAGAACTATGTCTTGGCTGTTTGGTAGACTCGGGTATTCAGGGCTTCATGGTCTGACATGCTGCATCTTGGTGGAGGTGGGCTAGTGCTATGTTGGTAAATACTGGTAGTCATGGTAGGTGTGTGGATTTGAGGGTGCCTATAATTGCCCTCAAGGCAACATTGAATTCTGTATTGACCAGTTTCACATGTGTACTTTGATCCCATACTGGAGCGCAGTAATCAGTATTCACTGTGGACAAGCATGAATGCCGCTGTCCACAGAGTGGAAGTATTGGTTCCCCAAATTGTGACAACCAATTTAAGGACCAGGCTGACACTCAGTCTCTGCAGATACATTCATGGAACATTAGGCTGTGGTTTAATGTGATATCCTACTATTTTGGGAGTAGATTGCACATTACACTTTCCTCACAGAAAGCCATCGTTAAAGGCTTGATTGTAATTCAAATGGAAGGCACTTATGACTGTTTTACTGGGATTAGGGAAGAGGCAACATTGCTTTTTCCCTTTGACATAAATGCAGGTTGGTAGGCCTCAGTTTCTTTTGGGTACCTTTCTAAAAATTTCCCAAAAAGGAAATGGGAGGAGGGGGGAGAGAGGGGGATGAAAAGGGAAATTGTGTGCATTTGCAAGTCAGAAGGTCTCATTTCATCTTCATAACTTCTGGTGTGAGATTGGCTTGTCTGCAATGTTTTTGGCATTGCTTAGATCATCCATCAGCCACCTGGACATTTCAGATTCCAACCATAAATACTTCTGAATATCATCTGACTTACTCAACATGCCCATTGCTTGAATCAGACTTCTTGATGTTTGCTGTATACATGTTAAGATTAAGGTTAGCTAGTAAGGATTTTCACCTGAGCCTTATAATGACCTTCATTGGCCTGCAACAGGGTGAACCCAAATAGCCAAAGAGATTTTAAGTTTCTTTTTGTTATTTGTTAGTCATATTAATCTCTTTTTCTCAGATGGAAGTCAGTCAAAACATGAGCAGGAAGGAAAGAAGGATGAAGTGGATTTGAGTCCAGAAATAGAAAAGGAGCTCCTATTACATCTGTGTGATGTCCTCTTGACCCTCCCAACTGATTCCCGTGTGCTGACGACCCAGGTTTCCCGGAATCTCAAGCGAGATCTCTCTCACTCTACAATTGAGAATTTGCTTCAAAAATTTGCTCTCCAGGAACTCATCAGGTATTCCTGGATCTATTGGGGAAGGGAAATGTTCACAAATGGATAGTTTGACTTTTTTGTGTCATCCCTCATTGCATTGGACAGTCTTCAAGAGGGTCAGACAACAGATGGGAAGAAATGCACTGTGATCACATCGATGGAGCACGATCGTCTGATGGCTGTTGCCTCCGAGGGTCAGCGAGATGGACCAACGAAACGGAGACAGACATCTGGGGAGAAAGAAGACACAGAGAAGGGAGATGGGAGGTCCGAGGATGAAAGGAGGCCAGACAAAGTTCTTCGCCTTGATGACAAGAGAAAGAAACTCCTTGATTCTGACATCCATGTCAGTCACCTTGATAGTGAAAAATCACTTAGGAAATTTGTCAATAATGGGTTTTTAACCTAATGATTGATGTTGAGAATGTGCTTCCATTTATTTGGATGTGGTGGTGTAGAGCCTCCTGTCACGGCCATCCATCAAAGAGAAGGAGAGCAAGAAAGTTGGAGAGGAGATTCTGGTTCTCCTTAGCAAACCTACTGTGAAGGAACTGAGTCTGGCTGAACGCTTTCGATCTCAGGGGGGTATGTGACTGCAAATACTCTGTCTAATACTCTTTTTGAATGCAAAAATGATTGCTAAAGATGTGAGAAACAGAGACCTTATTCAAGGAATGAATTTGTGTTTTTTGTTGAAAAAGGCAGCACCCTTAGAAAGATTCAAACTAGTCTTGCTTCCTGCAGGTATTGCAGAATGTTCACAATAGGTCTCACATAATTGAGTTTCTAGACCTCACATGAACCCTGTAATATTCTGCTTGGCTGATTTTTATTTTGTCCAACAGGGGCAACAGTACAGGAATTCTGTACATATGGGACGCGAGAGGAATGCACGAGGGAGCTGAAAGGTCAGGGAGCCCCAGCTTGCAAGAAACTGCACTTCCGCAAAATCATCCAAAAGCACACAGATGAGTCACTGGGAGATTGTTCATTCCTCAATACCTGCTTCCACATGGACTCGTGCAAGTACGTCCATTACGAGGTGGACTATGAGGGGGTTGAGCAGCGAGGAAAGAAGGACCTCAAGGATAGGTTAAGTCTGAGCAAGTCCAATACTGTTGGGATCGTCCTCTTTCCCCCACAGTGGATTCAGTGTGACCTGCGCTACTTTGACATGACCACCCTAGGTGAGACTCAACAATTCTTTTGAAATGGTCCACTAGGAAGCAGATTGCTTCAGGGTTCAGAGTAGTAGTAGAGATGGTGGAAGGGAATAGACATCCATTGGTTTGCCAATGCATTCCGCTGCTTTTCATCAGGCCTACATGAAGACATTGTCATAATCAAGGTACTAGAATTGCACTGGAGTTGGTTTAGGCTGGGTACAGGATACTCTACAGCAGGTATTCACCAAGAATTGGGCAATTGCATATGCCTTTAACATTACTTTTATTTCCACAGCAAGTCTATCAGTTCAATCTTTCACCCCCTCTTACTTCCTGTCCAACAAGAGCAAAGCAGACACTGTTGAAGCACCTTGATGCCTCTTCATGCTGCTAGTGATGCAAAATTACAGGCATTAGATAATTTATTAAACATTTTTTTGGTGACTATCAGCATCTGAAGGAAAAAAGTGTTTATGGTTGAAAGATATGGCATAAGGAGAAAAGCAGAGTGGGGGGATGATGTGAAATAGGTATAAATAGGTATTGGCACCATGCAAAATGCCACAGGTTAAAGGAGATTTCCACAAGTTGAAGACTGGAAGAAGTGTATGTTTACATGAGGCCTTGGTCACAAGAATCATCTCAAGGAATCTCCTGTAGGTACTTTCCCCACCCCTTTTTTTTCTGCAGCCTTCATTTCTCACCCTGTTCATATGCACTTGACTTTCCTCATCGGAGAGTTGCATGATCATCTCACAGGCAGATACGATGTCAAAATCTTTGCTGCATGAGATATTCTGTACTGAAAGCTGGCCACTTTCCATCAAACCAATCTTCTTATTACCATTCTCCTCCCTTACCCACTGAATTAGACATCCTGCCAAGTGACCAGCTAGGATGGATACCAAATATTAACCAGATATCTGGTGCATCACTAGTTCAAACTTGTCTTGTCGGGAAGTTGGATGTAGTTCATGAATTCTACAATGCAGGTCTTGCTTAATTTCCATATCACTCTTTTGCATCTTTTCTTTGGCAGGAATGTTGACATATGTAACTGATTGAGATTCATATTGCAGGAAAATTTTCTGTGGTGATGGCTGACCCTCCATGGGATATCCATATGGAACTTCCTTATGGTACAATGTCTGACCAAGAGATGCGAGCACTCAATGTTCCATCCCTGCAAGATGAAGGACTCATCTTCCTCTGGGTTACTGGCAGGTCAGACTTACCATCTTTCTCATAAATGACCTGTAACTTGCTCCCCCCCCCCCCCCCCTCCCCCTTTTTTGTTTTACATAAAAGTATGGACACACCTTTCTTAAGCGCCCACCATGCCCATTCCTAGAAATGACATGATTGGTCTATCCAGAAAGGAGATTAATGATTGCCCATTAATATATATGGATGATAGCTATTCCATGCTCTATTATCCTCAAAGGGGGAATGGGCAGCATTTAAACAATCTTTGGCATTTAAAATTGCTCAGAATTTTCTGCATATTTTAAATTTATTTTTCAATTGACAGTTATACAGGGTGGCTAAAAAAAAAACCAAGCTATTGACTTCAATTTGCTGTAAATCAGGCTGCAATGCCTTGATTTGAGTAAGCTTTTAGGTACGCATGAAAACAACTCTTTTGCAGAAGGCATAAAATTATGTGGTATGTATCATATATTTTTTGCTTTGTCCGGATGAAAATGGCCATCCTCATTTGGAAAACTGCAGCAACAGTACCTGGCTGCCATTTGAGTTGGAGCAGAGACAGCTGTTGTTATTAAGAAAACACTTTATCTTCTGTATCAATGTTTTAAGATGTGTTTCTTCCTTCTCCCAGATTTTTTTTTTCTAAAGCAAAGCAATGCTGAGCTACGTGCATGAAGACTTGGCGGTGATCAAGCAAGACCTTGTGAGTTTAAAAACAGGATCATCAACTTGAACACAAGGTAGTTGAAGGCCCAGAACCCAAAGAAATGAAGTGAATGCTAAAAAGTTTAAATCCATGTGTTGAGTCAGGAGGATCAACCTGAAAGTTTGTTTTACCAGAAAGTTCATTAATCATTTTTCTGACTTCCCATCCCCTTTAAACTCAGAAGGTCTTAGTCACTGCCAAGTCTTCATGTGAGTAACTTGGTATTGCTTTGTTCTACAAAAATAGAAAAAAGCTTTGAAATAGGAAGAAGCACATAAAAAAAACATTGATGCAGGAAATGATATTTGTTCCTAATAACAACAGCCTTCGCTGTTGCAGTGCAAATGGCAGCCAGGGACTGTTGCAGCAGTTTTCCAAATGGGGGGTGGCCATTTTCATCCTGATGAAGTAAAAAATTTGTGATACAATACCATACAATTTTATATCTGCTGCAAAAGAGTTGTTTCATATGTGCCTAAAAGCTTGCTAAAATCAAAGCATTGCAGCTTGATTTACAGCATGTTGAAGTCAATAGCTTGGTTTTTTTTTTAGCCACCCTGTATATAGATCCAAAAGTGTTTTATATGCTTTGATTTACTTTCAAGAAAAAAGTCAGCAAGGGGGTCCAATGGACCTCATATTTGTTTTGCTAAGACTTACTTGCTAAAAGGTACCAACTGATCTGTACTTGCAAGAAATTACCAGAGGATGCCAGAAAGCCTTTGTACAATGACCATCATTTGTGAAATTTGGTAGATTGAGTCATTTTGTACAGCACATGGAGTACTTCATTTGGGTGGATGTAACCAAGAAAGAGGCGATGTCATTTGCCCATTAATGCAGCATTATGCTGTTGGCTCTATCTTGCGATTGGAGCAATCATATTTTGTGAATGATATCTCATTGGCAAGCCTGACAAATTTTTCACACATGTAAATTAACTAGTTTTGAAGAAACCTCACTTCAATGGGCAAGCATCATTTCTTCTTGTGGCCTTGGTTGAATTCACCTTACTGACATGCCATCCTGTGTGCCTGCTAATTTTTGCTCGTTTTAAAGGAATCTTTTGAAGAAAAAAAAAAAACAACTTTTTTTTTTAGCCATCTAATAATCATCGCAGTGATTCTTAGTTATCTGAAAGAAGCACATTGACCTGATGGTCAGGCTGATGCTAGCCTGCCAGAAACAATCGTCAATCATCCCGGTAATGTTTATGGAGGAGCAGAAAGGAACAAAGTATTACTATAAGTGTATTCCATTGACAACTCGGGTAGTTCTTGCGATCGAGAATCTGGAAAACCTGTTGTAAGTGTATTTGTGGAACAGGGCGATGGAGCTCGGTCGGGAGTGTCTGAGCCTATGGGGATACGAGCGGGTGGACGAGATCGTCTGGGTGAAAACGAACCAGCTACAGCGCATCATCCGCACGGGACGCACGGGTCACTGGCTCAACCACGGGAAGGAGCACTGCCTGGTCGGCATGAAGGGGAACCCCAAGGACCTGAATCGCGGTCTCGACGGTGACGTCATCGTCGCCGAGGTCCGTGCCACCTCCCATAAACCGGATGAAATTTACGGGATCATCGAACGCCTCTCCCCCGGCACGCGCAAGATCGAGCTCTTCGGCCGTCAGCACAACGTCCAACCGAATTGGTCCGTCTCTCTGTCGTGCCACCGTTTTGATTTTTTTCTTTTTCTGCATCGGAGTGGCTTTTTTACGCCCTAGGATCACGTTGGGGAACCAATTGGATGGCGTGAAGATCCTGGACCCAGATATGGCACAGAGGTTTTACGTCCATTATCCCGACGGCCAGTGCTTACGGCGGAACTGAAGGGGGCTCTTTCGTCTTATCCATCACCTTCATTTTCACTCGTCGTTGCTACAACGTCATACTGATAACATTATTTCGTAAAATATTTTTCTTCTCGTGCATCTTTGGTTCCTTGGACGTGAATGCAAGAAAAATGGAATCGAACATAGAAGACAATGTGAAATGTGGAACCTAGTAATAATCAGGAACAGGAGCCGTGAGAATCTTCACGAAATCCTTGTACTTGACGGTCCCACCAGGATTCACCTTCGCTTCCCAGAACAGCTGTTCCACTGTCCCACAAAAACGCACGCACTTCACCCAAAATCCCCACGAAAAAAAAAATCAAAATAATAAATAAATATATACCTTCGCGCGGGCTGAGCCTTTCCCCCCAATGAAGCAAGAGATGGCGGAGGTCCTTGGCCGATATCACGCCCTTTCTCCCAGTGTCGTACGCCTGAAACGCCTTCAGAATCTCGTCCGGGATCCGCTCTTTGGTCGAATGGCTGTGCATCACTTCTAGGAAGTTGGCGAAGGTCATCCGTCCGTCTGCGGGCAACAACATTGATAGGGTTAACGAATTCGTTGATTAAAAATTAGGAAAATAAATTTAAAATGAATTAAATTTTACCACATACATCTTAATTTCAAATATTTAAAATTAACATACTTTTGTCTTTGAGGTATTGTCGAAGTTCGGTGATGGTGGGACTGGAGCCGAGGGATCGCATGACGACCGACAGCTCGTCCAGCGTCTTGATGGTCCCGTCCCGAGCGTACAGATAGAAGCAGTCGCGATACTCTGTCAAACATCAACGTCAAGGTTCAGGTTAAACATAACATTTAAAACAGTCGCAATACTCGGGGAGCATCAACGGATGGGGAAAGGAACTGACCGTCGATGTCCTGCTCCTTGAAGAAGCGAGCCTGAGGAGGGAAAGCATGGGAGATGAACTTTCACATCATTTGACAACAAAAAGGTAATATAAAAAAAGTAAAAAAGATGAGACGGACTGACCATGATGAACGGAAGTGATTAAGGCACCTGGAGGACGGTTAACAAACTATCGCCGTTTCACCAAAGTTTATAAGACGGTTCGCACAAAAGTCATTCACTCATCTAAGAGTTAAAACCACCATCAACCACATTATTCCGATATTGGTGATAAAGTAAGGTTTACAGTCTCAACAAGACCAATTTTTTATATATAAAATTGCCCTTTTTTAGCCTTCCACTCTGGCGACCTACCCAGCCGATCTAGAAAATTCCAAACACTTTATTTTTGCGCCAAGAGATGGCGGAAATGTCGAGGTACGTGGTACATTCAGATGCAACAGATTAGACCGAGGGGAAAGTTACGTCATCCGACGGAATGGCACCGGAAAGTCGCGACGTCGGACCACGTCCGACAACAGTGAAAAGGACTTTCTGCACTAGTTTAAAAACTTCCATTTCCGTATGCATTTATTTCTTACCCTGTCTGAGTTAAGAAAATTTTTTTTCTCTCGCCTCGCCTTGGGGGTTGGGGAAGGAGGGAGAAAAAAAAAAGGTTTTTCTTAAATGAGACAGGGTTTATTCTTGCCATAAACTTACTACACAGGTAGCCGAGGCTTGCAGCAATCGAAGGGCTGAAAGGTAAAAGTGCAAACAATTTCTGGAAAAAAAAAAATTGCTGATTTACTCATGGACTCGCAGAACCTTTCATAGCAAATTAGTTTTTTTTTTTGGAACTGTGTATAAGAACTGGTCTATCGATTCATACCACTTTCCTTCCCTTATAACTAGGTGGTCGCTCCTTCCATGTGAAGCTCGAATAACGCCTTCCAGCCCTTCAATTATAATCAGGGTCGAAAATTTTGAAAATTTCTATTAAAAAAAAGTGAAATGCCTGGAGTGTACACGAAACACTGGAGGGATCTAAGCCGGTCAAAGCTGACCCATCATTTTATTAATAAGGGAGGCTGGCTAAAAAAAAATACAAAATACAAAATATAAATTTAAAAGGAGAAACATTTGCTGCTTCCTGGCTGTAGCCATTTTATAAGCCTCCTTTTGATGTAGCCGTTGCTCTATACCTTCTTATGGCTTGGATGAATGCGAGGTATCAGGACCAGGGAACAACTTGGGTTTGGAGGGGGAACAAACTACATGTTTGTTCCCTCTCCAAACGAAATAGATGGATGGATCCCTCCCTCCCTCGTTGCACAACGGGGAGGGGCCTCCCCACTGTGTTAGGTGGAGACCCCTGTCACAGAGAGAAAGATGGAGGAGTGCCGTCTACAAATTTTTAAGCAACGAGTTCGCAACTGTGCAGTGCATATTTCACGTTTGTGTAATAAGAAAAAACTCTAGCCCGAATCCCTCAAAATAGAGACTTTTTGGAAGACAATATGATATGGGCAGACCCCAAGGTTCGAAGGAAAAAATTAAATATCCAGGACGCCGGCAAGGACCTTTGCCACCCTGCCGACAGAAACGGCAGGAATCCCGGACTACCTTCTCGAACGCGGGGACAAAAAAACGCAAGCACGTGAGAAAACTCTAAATTATTATCGAATGCCAGATAAAATGCCTTTCACCGACCGAAAGAACGAAAGACGTGGAATGGAAGAGGAGGAGGAGGAGATTCACGCCGTCTTGGCCCTGCCGGTCTGCTTGAGATATGCACTGAACATGAGCCTCGCGTCCCAGAGCACCCGGTTCACGTTGTGCCGCCGCACCATCTTGTCGAAGTGCATCGCCAGGTCGTTGTAATCCAGTCGACGGTCCATCACGAAGTTCCTGTGGTGTCTCAGGAGCGTGAGACAAAGGAACATGAGGAACGGGTTCCCGTTCCCGAACTTCTCCGGAGGCGGGAGACCCGGCGCATGCGTCTCGGAATCCACGGAATGGAGATTCCCCGGCTGAAGATTCCCCCCGCCCTCGTTCGAGAGGAGCTTGGTGCTCTCCGTGACCTCCTCGCAGGAGTTGGTTCCCAGTGGATCCTCCGACACCCCCGAATCGGACCTCCCCCGTCCACCGCATCGTGGCGACGACGTGGACGTCCAGAGCGTCGACGACCCCCCGCTGCTCTTCCCCGATGACGTGAGATTCCTCGACTCGGAATCCCCAGACTCGCACGACTCCCCCCTCTGCCACGGACCCCAACCCCCCTCGGAGTCCTGCGTCCGAGGCACGAACGGCCCTGACCCGTTCCCCCAACTCCCGCTGCTCTCGCTCTCGTCCGGCTTCGAGGCGGAACGATGCAGGAGATTATTGAACTCCTTCAGATCCCGCACCTTCCTGCGACACCTCTCGTCGCAGTCGTCGCGCCGCTCCGCCTCGGAATCGGTTGTCCCCGGACTCGGAATGGAAATGATCTCGTATGGCGAGTACGACTCCACTCGATCCACCTCCCCCGAGCTGATGATCTCCAGACTCGACTCGTCCAGGCTCGCCGAGATTTTCCCCCTTTCCGCGCGTCTCCTATCCGCCCCTGGCACCGCCGTCCCCCCGCACTCGAAGTCTCCCGTCGTCAGGATCTCCGCGCTCGACGAGTCCAGGCTGTTGTACTTGCGCCTTGCCGCCCTCGGCGCCGAGCACTGCCGACGCAACGCCCTCACCTTCGAGTACGGGCTCTCCCTCACGTTGGGCACGGGGCATTCCGACGGGAAGCGCTTCTCGTACAGCGTGAGACCTCCCGGGTCTGCCGGCGGATCCGGCGGGAGGGAGCTCCACAGCACCTCCAGCATCCTCAATGCATCCTCGAACGCGAACTCCCTCTTCAGCTCCAAGAGGAGCCACCGGTAACAGAACAAAAGATCGTCTGCCTGCGAAAGAAAAATAAGAACGACAAAAAAGGGGGGATAAAATCCTTACTGGCTTTAAATTCGAGCGCTTTACACTACTGCCACAAAGAGAAACCGGTAGTGTCATTTGCATTCCCGTGAGATAATCTAACTACTCACGTTGTCATCTAGGGGTAAATTTCAGAGGAGTATGTCTCACCTCCCTTTTAGCCAAGGGAGCTGACACTTCAGATTTGGACTTAAGTCATGGACCTTAATCACCATCAGTATTTTTTGTGAAACATCAGGGTTGGTTGAGCATAAAATCGTCAAAACTTGGACCACCCAACATGACCCTTGTTTTTCCTACTGGAAATTCAAAGAACAGCATTAAGTGTTTCTTTAATTTGAAACTGACCTGGTACGCTAAACTAACTCTATTTCTTTCAGCAGTAACACACTATTAGTTTTTTTTTTTAGGCTCTTACATAAAGGTAACACAGAGTCATTATGTTGAAAGGCATGTGCATAATGGAACTTGTATCATAATGTTATTAATAGCATTACCCAACCATCCTAATAACTGAACAGTGTGTTATAGTTTCTCCAAATGAAACCCAGTTATAATGACATGAAGGAAGTGCCCATATAATACTAATACTAATTTTGGAAAGACTACATGCTATTGGCCTATGTATAATGCTTTGGTAATAACGAGTTTTCTAATGTTAAAACAACTAATAATAAACGCCTGCATATATCCATGATTCTGTAAAATGCATCCACTACAAAGGAAACTACAGCAGTGAAGGTGAGATTTATGTGATACCTCACCCTTGGTGAATTATCCCATAAATTACATGTTCTATGAGGAAAAAAGAAAATAAATGAAACAAGAATGGGAGGCCTTAACTCATACCTCTTGTTCTTTCAGATATTGAAAGAAATTGGGATCATAGAAGAGAAGGGCCTCTGAGAGGTGCTGGAAGGCCCTGGTCATGGCCTCTCCATCTGGGGTGAAGAAAGGCTTGAGGCGTTGCATGAGGGCACAGAAGCAGATGTATGCATGGGCCTCCTCCTTCATTGTGACCAGGAGGGGAGATGCCAGGTCTGACATTCCCTGGCAATAACCCACTGACGGATGATTCAACGCATACCTGTGTGTTGTACGAAGGAAACATGCCACCTGGATTCTCATTTCCCTTCCTGGAAAACTATGACTGCAGAGCCAGTGTTCACCCTTAAGTTTCCAAGCAAACTTTTATGTATTATAACTTTATATTAAACTTTGTGCAAAGCACTCCTTACACTTGAAGGGTATAAATTGAGTAGGCCAACTAAGTAAGGACATGATTGAATTGAGAGGAAGAGCATGGAGTGAAAAGTCACATGAGGTAAAAATCCCAGGAAAGCCCAAGCTCATGCCTGGTCATGAGAAACTTTGATACATCTTGAACTATACCTATATTTTCATATGAAAATAAGGAAAATAAATAATAAATAATAGGTAAATGTTATCACATAAAATGTTTTCATTTTTTTTTTATGATGAAACCATGTCAGCACAAACAGGTAATGTCCTGAACTAAAAGGAAAAATCTTAAAAATATGCCACATTGACTTATTTCTGGGGAACATTCACACATTCAAAACAAAAAGACAGAAAGGGTAACTAACGTAGTGAGGATATTGAAGAGGGCAGTGATGTTGTGATTATCATCTTCTCCAGAGAAGAAGGGATGGGATCGATCAGTGCGGAGGACATCCTTCCTCACTTGGCTGCAGATCAACATCAAATCCTCCCCACCCTTCCCTAGAGAAGCCCTCAGAGACTGCCACGCCCCTCGCAACTCTTCGTATTCTCCTGCCTTGTCTTTTATGTACTTGTAGCGATCTTCTCCTGTCATCCCCGGGGGATAGACGTTGAGAAGATGCTTCCAGACGACACGTCGCAGACTTGGCTGGACCCCACCCTGAAATACAGCCTCTCGGAGTTCTCGAGGCAGGACCAGCCTTCCAACATTGTCAAGGAAGGAATGGAATTCCTGGTCGTTGAGAGGCTCCTTGATTAGCACATACCCTGGGGGCATATTCTCCATGTCCATCAGGCTCAGGGATTTTAAGCCTTGCTTGATATTATTGTATGTTTTCTCCACCTGGTCACAATATAAAGGCCAGCCAGATGTGAAGATTCACAGACACTCATTATGTATGCACCAAAGAATGCACAGAAGACACAAAACCTGATTGCGAATAATGCCTGGGAGACGTGGTGCAAGAGCATTCTTCTGGCGTTCTTTATTATTGGACACATGTGAAGTGGAAGGAATCCCAGAGTTGGAATTGGGATTGTTCTGCCAAGGAATTACATTGGAACCACTCTGAGGTGTGATTTCAGATGATTTCACCAAATCCCACTCTTCCTGTCTCACAGTCAGCAAAAGCTGGAGGCATGGATCTGATGCACTGATGAAAGATCAGCAAGAAAATTCAGAATGACATCATTCATGAACCTAGGACTAAGCCAATCATTCACACAAATAGAAATCACTGCAACCAGCTGAATCTGTCCAGTAAATGTATACATAGCAAACAAAAGGCTTACAGCAACATCAGGCTTGAGATATCACATGTTCTGTTCTGCTGACCCATAACAGATCCAACTGGTTCAGGAATGCTAGCTCTTATTAAGTGGTGAGAGAAAAGAAGCAAGAGGGGCTAAAAGCATTGAAGCAAAGGAAGAGGCATTTGATGTATACCAATATTAGGCACATTCTAAATACACTGAGTTCTACATGTATATTTCTTTTGTTCTTGAGTTCTACATGTATATTTCTTTTGTTCTTGAGTTCTACATGTTCTTTTGTTCTATCAAAATGATCAACTCCAGCAAGTAATGCATAGAGGCCATTGGCCTTCTGGCATATTTGCTATATGATTATTTCCAATTTTCGCATCAAGGCAGGCTTTAAACTTTTTTATACATTCAGGAGTTGGCTTGTGTTGTCAAATTCACAGCTGTACAGCACACCTCTGAGTATCACAGACGCTTTAATAAGTGACTAATGAAGATCCATTCTTGTGTGGATGCAGAAAAAGAGTATCTTGGGGGGGGGGGGGGGGGGTGCAAATACAAAAAAAATGCTTTTGGCAATAGGAAAATAAGTGTTGCCAAAAATTGTTGAGTACCCCTTACAGTATATCATTTGCCATAGGTCAACACAAAACACGTGATGGTTCCTTTGTGAAGCTGTGATAGAGGGCACTGAGCTCAGAGGTGGTCAGTGGCCTGCAAGCTTGGGTATTGATGCTTGATTTGCTGATTCATGCAGTGTTATTTAAAAATTGAACAATATTCCATTATTGATGGAGGACATGCTGCCCTGAAGGTTGAAGACTTTTTTGAGTGCATTTACCATAAAAAAAGAGCAAATGTCTTGGACTATCTGACAACTTGGCTTGGGAACCAACACTAGTAGACTCTGGGTTAGTTAATTCTCTGTTCTCCATCAACAATTGGAATATTCAACCTGAAAAAGTCATAGACAATTGATTGGTCCTTTTCCCCAACCACATGCAGAAATTGATGACAATCCCCATTCCCTCATCTTCCCTGCAGATGTGTTAGGCCTGGAGTTAAGATTACACCTAGGCCAACATTGGCTACTTTTGGGCCAAATTTAAGCTTTGTTCACCTACCATTTTTATAATTGATAGGCCAACCATACTTCCCGTAGGCCTATTAGCCTACCTGAGAAAGGCGGCTTCGAGATCCCAATCAGAGATCAAAGGAAGATAGGATTGCTCTCCACAATCGTCGGTCATCAGATAGCTCAGGATGCATTCTCTATGGACGACAGAAAGTTGTGGTGTCGGTTATGGGTATCGAGAAATTTTCGAACCTATCGGGGTCAAAAACTCACCCGTCGATTTCGAATGCCCGGATGAGAATGTCGTGAAGGACGTCAAGAGAAGTGAGTTGAGGATCCACACTGAATTTTCTGAATTCCGGCGGATCCCGTCCCCCACACTTCTGGACGTGAACGCGAATCGCGTCCCTCTTCATCAGATTCAGCATGTCCTCTTCGTAGAGACTCCGATGAAAAGGCTATTCACACTTCCCATACCCTTAGCCGTTATCTTATCACAGGGTCGAGGCTCGGGGCCATGATACGTGCCATGGGAAATGGACGCCGCCATATTGTTCGCGCATTTATCACTTTAATCACCTCATTGCGCATGCGCGAAATGCATGCTCCTGCAAGTGAATAGCATACCAATACGAGGAATATATTACAAGTTTTTTTCGTTCAAGGAAAGGGAGGAGCTTGTAGACTTTTGTTTCTTTCACCAGAGCCTGTCGAGGACGTGTGCTCTATGTCGATAAAGAAAAGAAAAAAAGAAAAACTGGAATTTTTTGAGATAGGAAGGCACACACTACTTCGTTCTCAGCGAATATGGAGAAGCGTGAGGAAACACAAACATCCCCGTCTTCTGCCTTTCTTCCACATCGATGCGTGGACAGGCGAATGCAGCTGTGAATGCCACGTATCTTCTCCAGAAGCAGTGAGGCTGCAATCCAGGGCTGGGATACGGGTCATGTTCCTTCTCAATGGTAAAATGAACTAAAATTGGGGATGATAAAGCAAGCCCCTACAATCCTCCCAGGTTGGTCCTTGTCGCCTTCCACGATCCTAATTTTGAACATTGAAGCTGAATTTTGTCAAAATCGTTCTCGGCACGCATGCGATGTGTGGAGAGAGATAACGGATAAAGAAATAGAAGAATTCGTCGCGGATTCCTTTTATTTACTTCGCACCTGTCAGGTTGGCCGTATCTTATCCTTTGCGTATCTTTTCTCTCGACTAACAATCTGTTTTTTTTTTTAATAGAAATTATCGAGGAAGTTCGTTATTGAATTCATCGATAAAATCATGCATGAAGGAGTTCTGGAGGGATGAAGCGCGCTCACAAGGGCTGCCATGACCTCCCTTATCCGAGGGAGTGAGTGGGGTCAGCGCAGCAAAGACTCGTTGAAAAAAATAATAATAAATAAATAAATTTAAAAAACAAAAAAGACATAATCACAAATTTGCCTGTGGATTGTATTAGATTTACGATAAGGTGTAGAATATAAAGTCGGGATTCTAGGCTAAGAACTGCGGAGCAAAATGATCGATGTTTCATCCGTGACGGCCAAGTATTTTTGGGGTAGCACGAATGGTCCCAATAGGGCCGATGCAGTCATTGTATTATCTGTCATCCTAGTTCCTCGAGGAAAGCCACGGAGTTAGGAGTACTAGTACTAGACTGGGGAAGCTGGACCCTTCTCGGAAAAACACGAATCCAATGGGGAAAAAATCTGGTAGAAGCTTAGAATCGACACGAATGACCTTACCTGCTTTGATCTTGGCCTTGCTTCGGATCCATCGCGAGCCGATGGGCCTCCGAGGCCGAATTCCACTTCGCGTTTGCCGTGCGTCTTTGGACCGTCGAAACTCGCTCGCGACTCGATCCGAGTCCGATTGTTCCTAATGAAAAAATACTTGGACCGTCGTGATTGCGATCATGATCTAAGCCGAACTTTTTATTTTTGGTGCTTATAGGTCGACGGTACCAACGAATTTCTTCTGTGAATCGCATCCTTTCCTCGTTCGCGACGGTTCTCGCTGTTGGCGGTATTTGAGAGACATCTAGCGATCCTAATCGTTACTAGAGACAGATGTTTAGAGGAAGGCATTCGTCATTCCGCAGCTCACAAACACGTGAGCCGCGTGAGGGTCATCGGGGCATCGGGGTCGCGGACAGGGCCGAGAACAAGGCCTGGGTGGGAGTGGATCGCGTTTCCCGTCTGGGAGAATCGGAAGAGACGGTCGATGACCTCGGAAACGGGACGTCCATGAAAACTGTCTCTGCGACCGTGACGTGGGTCTCCACCCTCCCTCTCTCACTCACTCACTCGCTCACTCACCCTCTCTCTCTCTCTCTCGTTCGCTCTCGATGAAAATGCAGGAAGATCGGCATGCATAACGTGACCGTGGATGTGATTCCCCTTTCGATCATTCTAAATGAGCTGTCCCACTATTACCCAGCACTGAATCAGAGACATGACATGCGCCATGCCGATTTATAATGCGATAAACTATTAGCTCTAATAACTGAGTACAATTCCATTACCATGCGCACCAATAGATCACGAAATCCAGCCTGGAAAATCCAGTTCTCGAATCCGACGTATTCGTTTTTGCGCGCTTCGACGACGACACGAACGGACTCGCCTCGATCCCAGGTGGAATGATCAGGTGGAGCAGGTGGAATGATCGAAAGGGGAATCACATCCACGGTCACGTTATGCATGCCGATCTTCCTGCATTTTCATCGAGAGCGAACGAGAGAGAGAGAGAGAGGGTGAGTGAGCGAGTGAGTGAGTGAGAGAGAGAGCAGCGAAAAATAGTTATTTCCTCCATTTAATGCATCTTTTCCTTCCTCTCTTTCGTGGTTTTTCTTCGACTCCCCTCACCCACTCCCTTCGCTATAATGAAGAGCTCGAAACGATGGGACTTGGGAGCTGATGGCACTCTTTCTCGCCAGATGCGAGGTGCAGTAACTGCTTGACAAGAAAGCGACACGATGCAAATGGGCTTCTCTTCGCCCCTCGATCGTCGAAAAGTCGACAAACTCAATCGATTCGGTGGACGATCGATCCCCAACGTTGCTTCGTCGATGTTCTGAGGGCTCGAAATGCAGTGGCGTCACTTAAGCCATAATTAATTTATGGGCTTAATTTCCCATTACGAAGTCTTCGGCACACCGTTCGTGACTCGCGTACAAATTAGGCGTAAAATTGTTTGAAACCTTTTCAGGGGAGGCCCGGGTAGTAAGAATTAAATTAAATTAAATTTCGTACATGATCCAAGATTTGACTGCTTTTACTCTTCCGCGCATATGTTAAGTATGCATTTGTAAAAACCGGTTACCAGTAAAAAAAAAAAAAAAAAAAAAAGGTTACCCGAGAAAATGGAGAAGAGAAACTGTTTCCTGTTTCGACTGATTCAGCGAATTTCTCACCTGCATCCTAATTTCCACAACTATCGGAACTTTTTTTTAGTTACGAGGAAAGCGAGACACAGATGGGACTGGACTGTAAGTGGGCCGACTGAGTGGCCAGATGCCTGATAGAGGCGCTGCCGACACCACGTCGTATGTATTCGCAGCGCCACTCCCTGCAGGTTGGCTCTTCAAATGGCAGCTGTGATTTGCTAGGTCTGTCGAGTCGCCTCATGCTTCAATCCATTGCGTAATAATATTGCACTAGTGCTATTCACTTCTTCGGGGGCGTGAGGGGGTGTGGGGAGGGCGGGGGGAGGGGGAACCTCAGCATCTTTAGCACTCTATTGCAGAATTTTGAGTCTATAGCTTGGGGTGAAGTTTTTTTTGTTATAAGGAAGTCCAGGACATTTTCCTTACGTTTCCAGTCGGTCATGGGTTCATGAGCTACTTACTAGACATGAGAAACACAAAAAATCCCTATAGTTTGACATTCTGGTCACTTGACCTGCTGTGTTTATATTAGGCTGTTCCAAAATAAATGTCCGAATTCGATCGCAAACTTTGAAGGGTCGTAACTCAGCTGATAATGAACATTTTTAATCGAAGTAAGCACCATCCNAAGTGGCTTACATAGAGAAAGGTTTGCTGAAAAAAACGGTATATAACAATAACTGGTTATCGCAAAATTGACAGGTATAATGATAGACAAAACATTACACTTCGAAAATCGGACATTTATTTCGGAACAACCTAATAAGTGACGCCATAAAAGTAGCAGCACAACCTTTTATGTATGCGTTTTTGTGTAAGAGCTTGTTGCGCTTTTTCAAGTCTCAGCAGTGGTGCATACTTTTTAAGTCGTACACCAGTGGCGTATTTTTGCTCGTGAGCCAAGGGGACAGAATAGCAGAGGGGCTGACAAGGACGTTGTTGAATGGGGGGAGGGGGTTGTGAGAGAAGTTTTTCAGTGACTTTCAGAAACTTCTTTGCCAATGTACGAGATGTAAAATTAGAAGAAAATAAAAATTTAAAGAACAATGCACTGTTAAGCTGTAGCTATTGTTTTCAGAAAGATACACGCGCAAGATTTTCTCCGGATTTTCCCATGATTAAAAGCTACAATCACCCCGAAACGTTTAGTATTGCTACGAATTAAGAACTACTCTACGCATCTCTTACAGTCAGATGATATAAAGTGGTAACACGTGGATGAGGATACCGAAAATATTTTCATATCCGATATAACAAGTAGCTAATGGTTGAGCAGTCAGAGAAATATCGAGAGTACATTTATGCCAAATTTTATGGGATTCAGATGAATGACAGCTCAAACTTAATTTGTTAAACTTATTTGCCCCAACCTCCCCTACGACTATTGAAGTTCCGGGAGCTGCCATGTTCACCGACCCACTCATTTTCCTCTTCACGCCGTTTCTCATCGATCATCCCAGCATTCATCGTTCAGTGAATAGTTTTTTAATAAGCAACAAAAAATACAGGCAACAGTCTCTTTAATAATAATATTTTAAAAACTGACGGGACGCATACAAGGGGATAAGGGGATTGAAATTCTCCCCATCGCGTCACCCTGACCTTATTTTGTCGCCATTCGCTCTTCCAGCCCATCAGCTTTTGTGATAACTCACGCACATCTGCCCCCAGATCCCTCCCCATTGGGTCAACAATTCCTCTGCTTTTTTCATCGGAGCCCATTCCCCGAATGGGAATTTTCTCGTCTGGTCTCTCTTCGCAATAAAATTCGATTCGTTCGCTCGAAGAGCCCATGGAGTAAAATCGATGGCACACGTTCATACACGGAACTGTGCTCATTCATTGATTTTAGACCGAGAAAAAATGATAGATCCCACATAGAAACAGTAAATTTCTCCAATTTTTAACGATTTAAAAGCCAGATTTATCGCTAGTTCACAAAATTAATAATGCATGATCTAAAATTCGTATGCTTGATCTTTAAGGGCATGTTCTCCACATCGAAACCTTCCAATTCATTGGCGCAAAAAAAGGTATTAGGTCATGGGCGATCCATTTCTCGTGTTATTCAAGAAAATTTTCCTTACACGATTGTACAAAAACGCTTAGAATCTTACGTAAGCAAAGTTGTTATCAGTCACCTTCAAGTTACGCA